GGGCGGGGAAGGAAGGAAAGGAAAAGAAAAACAACAAATTAAAAGCATAAGGGTAGACTTATGATCACTGGGTTCTTTTCAGGTAACTGGCTTCACAAACACTCAGTGGATTTCCAGTAAAAAGATTGTACTGCTTAACTCCACCCTCCCCTCCTTTTAGGAAACTCACATTAATGGTCTTTAAAAATCCACATACAAAATACAAGGAGAGAGATCCTTTCACTAAGAAAAGCTGTTTCCAGTCTTGCTTAAAGGCTGCCTTTTCTATTCTTATGATCTGCTGTGTAAATCGAGTGTTCTTTTTATTTTCTCATCAAAAAATCTGTTCAAAATAAATACTGGCTGGATTTTTATAAACTCCAAGAAACCACATGTTTTAAATATTAATATTTCACTATTGCAAATAGAATGATATGATATGGGCTTTAAACCCAACAGGTCCAAACTGTTTAAGTTCGACATATTTTGGGAACCACTTTGAAATTACTAAGGTAGAGGGCATAAGGGGAGGCAGAACACAGCCCTCGTATGTGGGTCACAGAGCCTATTTATTTCTCTGTGGTTACATGGTTATACATCATCCTGGATCACAGAGCCCAGGCAACAACCTCCCACAGAAAGGAAAGGCAGAATCCCTACATATCGGTGGGTATTTGTTTGAAAAGCCTAGAAACAAAATCTAGGGACCATATAATTCATTCTCGTTGTGGCCCTCACCTAAATCTGCCCGTCCCAACAACTTGGCAGCCCACTGAGTTAATACCTAGGGGGGAAAATCAGCTCAAAGAAGACAACACTGGCCATATATTACTTTTTCAAAGACCCCACAGCTATCACCATCTCTCACTGAAGACTCTAAACCAAATAGAGAGCAGGAAAAAAAAATCTCAAAAATAACAGGATAATTTTTTGACAAAAATTTGCAGCGGTTAATGGTTACAAACATGCTTTACTTTTGCTTTCTGAGATACTAGGCTCTACCAAAAGCTACATCATAAAGCAGAACAGATTCCCTTAAGAACCTTTGAAAGCCTTAGTGCTTGAAAAATCGCCATGGCTTTCAGTACAGCCGAGAGAAAAATTTATCTTGCTGCTCGTTTAAGGGGCTACACTTCAAACTCATCTTAAGGAAAAAAAGAGAAAGAGGATAGACTCTTGGACTGCTTTGAAAAGCTTGAGCAATTACTTCAAAGGGAAGGGTGTCTTTGTCCGGAGAGCAGGTTTTATGACTACTGATGCAAATCCCAACCGAAGGCTGAAAAGGATACTCAGTGCATCTTTATGGATGGCCTTAAAGAAAGATGAGGCGATTAAAGACAGCCCAAATCCTGCCACGAATACTGGGACACACCAGTTTTTACAGATGTGGTCTTCTCAATACACAAAACTGAAATATCAGTACTAACTTACAGACACTGTTAGAACCACCCGACTTAAACATTTAAGCAGCACAAGATCTCCTCCATAACACCCAGTTAGCATTTATATTGGACCTATGTTTTAAAATATGAGGTGAATTGCTTTGCACCATTCGTCAGAATAACAAATGTTTTTATTAACTATGTTTCTTTGGTGCCCTCATAACACTAAGTGTATTTCTCCATCAAATGAACTCTGAATCACTTCAAGTTATACCTGAAAGAAGAGAAGAGGAAACAGTCATTTCTCTAGTATCCTGCTCATAAATATCCAATGAGAAAAATATTGCAAAAGAGCTGTCGCCATTAAGGCAAAGGGGATTAATAATCCAGGTAAAAATAGGCCTGACACACATTTCTGGCAAATTTTGAGCTACATTTTAAAAGATGAATAAAGTTCTTGGTATTTTTGGCACCATCTGGTCAGTCTTATAAAAATTAAATTACCTTAAAATGCATTGCAGAGTTCTCATTAGCAGTTTACATGTTATTAGCAGAGAGACAATCCCTTTCATCTACTCCCCATTTTTTTTTCATACCATCTATTATGAAATGAAGTGTGGCTCAACATTTGCCTATTCTTAGTTTTGTAGAAATAAAATTCTTCCAATTAATATAATACTTCGTTTACTAGATTCCTGGGCCAGAAGCTAAGATTGCCCATGTGTTTACTCATTCATGCCTTTACTTGTTCCTTCACTTAGTAGCATTTATTGAGTATATATTATGTGCAATGCACTGTGGAAACAGGGAGGAGGATAAAATATGGCTTGTATTTGTAAATGACTTGATTTTAAATGGTCATTGGATCAGGTTTG